GTTTTCTAAACTAAAACCAGGCTTTGTTGGGCTGCTGGATAAAACCTGGAACTAAACGCTATTTCTGACATTTTGGATTGAAAAATCTTCCTGGATGGAAGAGAAACGTCTTCAGACTTGGAAACAAAAAGTCCAGAGGATTGATTTTAACTTTTTTTGGACCGACTATGACTTGGATAACTGAGAATCTTCACCATCATTCTGTGTTTCTTGTTTCCTCCATGTTTAGTGGAGATCAGGCATCTTTGTCTTTTCATTGGCATTACAAAATTTTTTTTAATGTTTTTTTTTTATGGTTTTATTTATCGCACCACTTTGAGACAAGTGAATTCATGAATGAGAGAACTGTAGCGTAAATGCACTCTTTTACTCATATCTGTTGAAATCATGGCCAATGGGAGGAAAATAAAAGCCAGAGAGCCTGATGGTGTTTAAATATTGAACAGATGGTGTCTCTGCTGTGGAGAGGTTGCCTTGTCCCCCTGTCATTTTCCCAACATTATCATTGTGTGCTTTTCCTGAATGCTGATATTTAACCCAGCATAGACGTTCACAACAGGTGCGCATCATTAAGTTGTTCAAACAGCGGGTGACCTTGCGATGTGAAGTCTGCGTCTCTGTGTCTAGAGGCATCGCTGCAGCTTCACACAAATCGGAATTTAGTGTTTTGGTTTTTCAGAATATGGGTTTGGAAAGTGGTTCTGTGGTCTGGCTAGCAGGTGGCTGCTTCCATTTTATTTTTTAAAAGGTTTAACAGGCATTTTTTTTATTTTTTTTTACTTGTCCTTTTGAATCAATAAAATCCTCTCAGGAGGTTTATAAGAAAAGATGGCGCTTTTTTAATCATTAGGAATTAGAGCAACATGCTGCAGAGAGAAATGAAAGAACATTAGGTACTTTGCTTAATGTGTTCTTATCAAAGACGGTTATTATATATGCATCATCTGAATATGAAATGATACTGAGAAAAACATGATGTTATTACCAGTGGCAGAGATATAAAGAAGAAAAACACACCAAGCAAAATGGAGAAAATAATATCATCCCAGGCTCTGCACACTCATCCTCCTATCATCATATTAGCAGATATAAATCTACATTTGGATTCATGATAAAAAGTATTAACTGTTGGACTGAATGGTGCAGCGGCAGGAACAGCCTATTTTACTGCATTTCTTTTTCCATGAAAGGTAAGGCAACGTTTCCTCTCAGGATTAATGTTTGTCTTCAAAGTACTGACAGAACTAACTGGCGTCTTCTATGGATTTCTCTAATTAACATTAATATTAATTATTAAGTCTTATGGAAAACAAAAACATCCCAGTTATACATTAAATAAAAAATTGCTGGCAAATACTGCATTTTATTGATTGATTGGAAATGTGTAAAGGATGAATTTATATTTATGTACAGATGCATATGTATGTATAAAACAACAAAACAAAGATGAACAGAATATATGATAAAATAATGACATCCACTGGGAGGGATCACAAAAAAACAAGAAAATTATCATTATAAATGTTATTGTGCTACCACCCCAACTTAGAAACACGGACTCAATTCTCTATTTTAAAATGCAACTCAAAACCCATCCGTTCAAGATTGCTTATTCTCTTTAAATATCAATTTCACTGTCACAGCCTCTGTATTTTTTAAATGTTTTTAAATGTTTTTATTTTTATTTTTTCTGACACTGTTTTTATGCTTTTGTACGGTGACCTTGAGTGTCCAGAAAGGATCCTTTTTAAATAAAATGTATTATTATTATTATTGTTATGCTCAGAGAGTAAGGACCCAGAATTCAGCCAGAACAGACAAAATGACATTTGAAGAATCCGTAGACAGAGATGAGATCCAAGGTCAGAGCCGGGTGATCCTAACCTAAAAACAGCCAGATGCACGTCTCGCTCCGCCTAGCTCCTCTCACATACATCTGGGAACCCGCTCATTGAAAGTGATTTCCACAACCAAATTTATGGTCTGGCCAATCAGGACGCAGGGCGGGTGTTTCCTGGATGTGACGTAGTGGAGAAGCGAGTTCTGTAAGTTGTTCGTCTATACTTTTTTGGTTGGCTTCTTTTTTTTAAATAAGTCTGCTGTGCACAATGTTGCCTTTTATCCGCACATTTTCATGGCACAAACGACATTGATCATTTACCGACATTGCTCTGATTGCACTGTTGCTATATCCAAGATGTCGGCTGTTCTGTTTTGTTTTTTTTCCTGCGTAGCTCTCACAGCGTCACGGGTTAGCTTCGGTGTGAGTGGTTGAAATAGCACGTCGATAAAGATGACAGACAAGTGGCTTATCCAATCATATGCAAGGAGTTTTGATAAAGCCCAGCCTTCAGTAAAGGCAATTCCTATGGCGGGTTCCCAGATGTATGTGAGTGGAGCTAGGCGGAGCTAGACATGCATCTGGCTGTTGTCAGGTTAGGGTGATCCGGGGTCAGAGGAGAACCAGGGGGAAATCCAATCCAGAGTCGGGGCACAGATCCGGTAACAGGCAGGCTTACAGATCAGGCAGGGGTCAGTCAGGCTCGGGTACCAAGAGGCAGATCAGGTCAGGCAAACAGGCCGGCAGGAAGTCAGGAACGGAACGCTGGAATAAATCTCACCAATGGCTGGAAATAATCTGGCACTGATGTCTGGTCTGAAGGCTGGTTATATATTGATAGGTACGGGTGGAGTGTTAACTAGAACGGGGCAGATCTGAGCAGGTGTGTCTTCTGAGGAATCAGACCAGCATCAGTGATGAGATCACGATAATAAAATCAATTATAATCACATTATCATCAGTATAATCAAAATGTATATTTTCTTTCAGGAACCATCATCGTTATATTTTTAATAATGACAATAATAATTGCAACAATCAAACAACAGCAACCAGTTAATGAGTTAAAGATTGTTTTCCTTTAGCAGACTGGAGTCCTTCTGTTATCCAGAACCAGTTTTCAACCCTTTTTAACTTTTAGGTGTTTTTGCTGCATTCAGAGTTTCTTTTTTTCATCTGCTTTATGTGTTAGCAATCATTTATACTTTTACAGGTTTAATTTTGGTGAGCTCATTGCTTTTTGTTTGCTGTGAATGTATGTATTTGTGTGTTTGCATTTTTCAGCCCCCATAAATAAGCCTGTGAAATTTCAACTACGCTATATAATGTAGCGGCACTTCAGCTCCTTTAGTTTCTTCTGTACTGCATAGAAAAACAGAATAGCAACAAGTATTGAAACACGATTAATTCCAGATAATGTTCTTCAACTTGTGATGTTTATTAAGAGGAAACAAAAATAAGAGAACATCCACGTTCTCATAATATAAAATCGTTCAAAAACTGTGTTGCTTCCAGCATATCTGTACAGCACGTACAAGCAAACAAAAAACAAACACATACGTTTAAAGCATGCAGGAAGCCCAAAAATCTGCATTTCAAATTACATTTCTATATTCTATGCTTTTAATATTAGAGTTTTTAAACTTAAATTATAATCAAACAAGAAATAAATGTTCAGTCTTGTATTTTAACCCTTTTAAAACTATAAATGAATTTGTATCAAATTGGCTCTTAAATATATCTTTAGACTTTAGACAGGTTTTATCTGTCATTTTGTTTACACAAGTGTAAAACTAAAAGAAATTTCGTTATATATATATATATATATATATACAGTGTATATATATATATATATATACTAGTGCTGTCAAACTATTAAACATTTTAGTCGCAATTAATCGCATAATATCAACAGTTAACTCAAGATTAATCGCAAATTAATCGCATATTTTATCTTTTTATTTTATTTATTTTATTTGGGCATTTTAAAAAATGCAAATGTGCAATAATGTAAAAATAACTTGCTTATACAATAAGTATTTTTAATTATTATTTTTTTAAAGTACTTTTAAAAAACTAGAATAAAAATATCCTGGTTTAAATTCCGGCCAATAATTATTCAAAAATTGTAAAAAAAAAAAAAATACAAAACTACAGAACAGTAAACAGTACTTCAAAGAACTCCATAAAATTAATTTTTTTCTCAAACATAGGACAAAAATAAAGATGTACTGTTGAAATAAAGTGCACATTCCATTATGAAATTCAGACTTAATTCAAATAAAATGAAGTTACTCACAAAATAATAAATAAATCAAACGAATTTACAATAACTGGGCTTTGCAGTCATCTCAACAACATAACATTTTACATGTAGAACATTTTCAAAATGCTTTAATATTCCTTTGGTCTGAACAGGAAGTGCAGCAGCAGTGCATTCCACATGACTTCATTTAATTCTTTGTCTTGTTGGCAGTAAGCCAGTGAGACGCTCGTTTCTTCTGGACAACATAGACATTGGACTCAGGTTTTGTCAAGACAGCCTTCTGGGATAACTTTAAAATGAAACGTATCATTCAGGATACCTTGTCTGCTGGCCATTTTTGCTAATTCAAAGCACGGGTCTGTTATGCTGCGGTCTCTCCCAAAACTTAGCGTTCCTGAAGCTACGGAAAGCGCCGAGGGTAAAACAAACAGTACAGAGAGCGCTGCGGAAAAATAAAGAACAAAAGCGCACGGTGCGTTTGTTTTGATGCGTGATTAACTTGCCTTAAAAAAGATGTCGCCGTTATAGTCTAAAGCAGTTAACGCGTTAATAACGCTTTAAAGCTGACAGCCCTAATATATACATATGTATATATATATATATGATGATAAAATATAATAAATATAATAAAATGCAATAGAATAACCCATTCTACCAAACATTCATCAGTGTGATGGCGGTGGGGAAGAACCTGCTGCAGAACCTGCTGGTCCTGCATTGAATGCTGGGAAGCCTCTTCCCAGAGGGCAGCAGGGAGAACAGTCCATGGTGGGGGGGTGAGGGGTCATTGATGATGTCACGGGCTCGGGACACGCAGCGCTGGGATGAAATGTCTTTAATGGAGGGAGGGGGATATCTATTCACAATGTTTATGCTGTTCGTCTCTGTTATCAGATCGCCACCTTCTGGTTGGCAGTCGCCATGACGGTAACCGGGGAGGTGGGACTTCAGCCATTACGACTCAACTGATCGCAGCACTAACGGAGCAAACCAAACAGGGATGGGTGCCGGACCGAACCACTGTGTTCTGCTCCTGGGGAGGCACGGCCCTGGGGAACATTGGCTCCTACGAATGGGGAAAGGTCAGAGAAAAGAAGATCTGTTTGCTTTAATGCTAACCTTGGTGCTAAATGAAATCATGAAAAAGTCTGGGATCCCAAATGATGGTTAGATGGACAAAAAGTTAAGCTCTTGTTTTGTGGGCAGTAAAGTTTTTATGTGATCCTGAAATGCAGCCTTTCAGGTTCCATTTATGGCTGTTATGGTAAACATCTTGTGAATGACCCCATTAAGACCATTTTTATTTGTTGTTTATTCAGGATAACAGCGTCGTCCTTCAAAGCAGCGCTGTGGCCTACGTGAGTCTGAACTCTCCAGTTCGAGGGACGGAGACTCTTGGAGCCACAGCATCTCCGACTCTGCTGCAGCTCACTTCAGACATTCAGAGGGTAAAAAAATTCCTACTGCTGGATTACCTGCACAATGCTTCCCGATGCACTCCACTATGGGCTTCCTGACAGAAACAGATCACACAGGCATAAATCTATTATTTATTGATATTGTCATACTTAAGGGCAGCATATGTGTCATGCTTCTGTGTTATATATTCAATTCATTTATATATATAGTTAGTTAACAACACATTTTATATCAAAGCAATTTGCAGAGATTCAATCAGATCGATTCAAAGTTTTCAATCTAAGCAAAACCAGCTGATTGCATCGACTCAAGACACTCCTTTCGGATGAGCTGGCGGTAACAGTAGACAGAGCTTGCATTGTGTTTCTGCTCTCAAACCAAGCATGCATGCAGCGACAGTGGACAGGAAAATCGTCCCTTTTAACAGGAAGAAACCTCCAGTAGAACCAGGCTCAGTGTGAGCGGCCATCTGCTGAGGCCCACTGGGGTTCAAGGAGACAGAAGCAGACATAGAAAAGGAACATAGAAGTTCTGATCTGTAAATGTGCTGCTGCCATCAACACCTTTGTTTCTAGATGTTGGAGCTTGGCCTGTTTTTCAGTGTAGTCCTGTTTCTCTGACTGGCCTGGTGTCGCCTTAGTGAGCTGCTGGAGGAGGCGTGAGGATCAGGAAGTCTGGGCATCTCTGCTTAGACTGCTGCCTACATGACCTGGATAAAGAGGATGGATGGATGGATGGATGGATGATGGATGGATGGATGGATGATGGATGGATGGATGGATGATGGATGGATGGATGGATGGATGGATGGATGGATGGATGGATGGCATTAGACAGTGTGAATGTAAACAGAAATCTTAATTTTTAATACATTTATAAATACTGTCATTGTGAAATCTTAGCAGATTTCTTTCAACCTTCCCATTCTGTCACACAAGGAAGATATCTACTTAAAGTCTTTCCTAAAAATTGATGTGATTTTTAGGCTGATTATGCCAAATAATTCTTCTAAAATCTTCAAATGCAAAGTAATCAAAGTTATTTTTTCACCAGTTTCTATATTTGAGAAAACAGAATAAAGTAATCTGTGACAGAACCACCTCACAGGTCACAAGGTTTTAGACTCTAAACTATAGTAACACACCTAATGGCTTCCTGTCAGCTGGCAACTAGTTCTACACACCAGGAAACTTGGTGATGTCATTCCACTGACAGGACATTACGCAGAAGGGGGGCTGCAGTTGGTGAATATAAAAAACAAATGTCTTTATACTCTAAGAAAAAACGTATTTCACACAAAGATCTATTCCAATACCGTCTCATTTCTTTTTTTTCAGCTTTTTTATTATCATTCTACTGTCATAAGTACAGAGCAACGAAATGATCTCTGCGTTTAACTCCTCCCCTCGGGGAGCAGTGGGCTGCCATTGTGCGGCACCTGGGGAGCCGTGTGGGATTAAGGGTCTTGCTCAGGGACCCATAGTGACTTGAATTCAGAACCTCTAGATTCCAAGCTCTATGCCCTAACCACTAGGCCACCAGTCCCCTAATCTGGGAAGTTAACTAGAAATAAATGTTATGATTTAGTCCTTAATAAATCCGTCTGACTGATGCAGTGTGACGGCGTGGCGTGGAATCTTTCTCTCAAGGCTTGCAGTTGGAGGAATCTCACTGCTGAAGGATGTTGTGTATTGTTTCAATCCCTTAATCCCTCCCAGCATCACAACCGCTGTGGTTCTGGTGAAAAATGTGAAGTGGTTACCATGGAGGGGATTGTGTTTCATTGTAGTTGCAAGCAAAAGAGACAATTGTTAAAGGGTTAATAGAATGATTCTATAGGGTATCTGGTCCTTCAGGTCTCTAATAGGGTCATAGAATGATTCTATAGGGTATCTGGTCCTTCAGGTCTCTAATAGGGTGATAGAATGATTCTATAGGGTATCTGGTCCTTCAGGTCTCTAATAGGGTGATAGAATGGTTCTATAGGGTATCTGGTCCTTCAGGTCTCTAATAGGGTGATAGAATGATTCTATAGGGTATCTGGTCCTTCAGGTCTCTAATAGGGTGATAGAATGATTCTATAGGGTATCTGGTCCTTCAGGTCTCTAATAGGCTGATAGAATGATTCTATAGGGTATCTGGTCCTTCAGGTCTCTAATAGGGTGATAGAATGATTCTATAGGGTATCTGGTCCTTCAGGTCTCTAAAAGGGGGATAGAATGATTCTATAGGGTATCTGGTCCTTCAGGTCTCTAATAGGGTGATAGAATGATTCTATCGGGTATCTGGTCCTTCAGGTCTCTAATAGGGTGATAGAATGATTCTATAGGGTATCTGGTCCTTCAGGTCTCTAATAGGGTGATAGAATGATTCTATAGGGTATCTGGTCCTTCAGGTCTCTAATAGGGTGATAGAATGATTCTATAGGGTATCTGGTCCTTCAGGTCTCTAATAGGGTGATAGAATGATTCTATAGGGTATCTGGTCCTTCAGGTCTCTAATAGGCTGATAGAATGATTCTATAGGGTATCTGGTCCTTCAGGTCTCTAATAGGCTGATAGAATGATTCTATAGGGTATCTGGTCCTTCAGGTCTCTAATAGGGTGATAGAATGATTCTATAGGGTATCTGGTCCTTCAGGTCTCTAATAGGGTGATAGAATGATTCTATAGGGTATCTGGTCCTTCAGGTCTCTAATAGGGTGATAGAATGATTCTATAGGGTATCTGGTCCTTCAGGTCTCTAATAGGGTGATAGAATGATTCTATAGGGTATCTGGTCCTTCAGGTCTCTAATAGGGTGATAGAATGATTCTATAGGGTATCTGGTCCTTCAGGTCTCTAATAGGCTGATAGAATGATTCTATAGGGTATCTGGTCCTTCAGGTCTCTAATAGGCTGATAGAATGATTCTATAGGGTATCTGGTCCTTCAGGTCTCTAATAGGGTGATAGAATGATTCTATAGGGTATCTGGTCCTTCAGGTCTCTAATAGGGTGATAGAATGATTCTATAGGGTATCTGGTCCTTCAGGTCTCTAATAGGGTGATAGAATGATTCTATAGGGTATCTGGTCCTTCAGGTCTCTAATAGGGTGATAGAATGATTCTATAGGGTATCTGGTCCTTCAGGTCTCTAATAGGGTGATAGAATGATTCTATAGGGTATCCGGCCCTTCAGGTCTCTAATAGGGTGATAGAATGATTCTATAGGGTATCTGGTCCTTCAGGTCTCTAATAGGGTGATAGAATGATTCTATAGGGTATCTGGTTCTTCAGGTCTCTAATAGGGTGATAGAATGATTCTATAGGGTATCTGGTCCTTCAGGTCTCTAATAGGGTGATAGAATGATTCTATAGGGTATCTGGTCCTTCAGGTCTCTAATAGGGCGATAGAATGATTCTATAGGGTATCTGGTCCTTCAGGTCTCTAATAGGGTGATAGAATGATTCTATAGGGTATCTGGTCCTTCAGGTCTCTAATAGGGTGATAGAATGATTCTATAGGGTATCTGGTCCTTCAGGTCTCTAATAGGGTGATAGAATGATTCTATAGGGTATCTGGTCCTTCAGGTCTCTAATAGGGTGATAGAATGATTCTATAGGGTATCTGGTCCTTCAGGTCTCTAATAGGGTGATAGAATGATTCTATAGGGTATCTGGTCCTTCAGGTCTCTAATAGGGCGATAGAATGATTCTATAGGGTATCTGGTCCTTCAGGTCTCTAATAGGGTGATAGAATGATTCTATAGGGTATCTGGTCCTTCAGGTCTCTAATAGGGCGATAGAATGATTCTATAGGGTATCTGGTCCTTCAGGTCTCTAATAGGGTGATAGAATGATTCTATAGGGTATCTGGTCCTTCAGGTCTCTAATAGGGTGATAGAATGATTCTATAGGGTATCTGGTCCTTCAGGTCTCTAATAGGGTGATAGAATGATTCTATAGGGTATCTGGTCCTTCAGGTCTCTAATAGGGTGATAGAATGATTCTATAGGGTATCCGGTCCTTCAGGTCTCTAATAGGGTGATAGAATGATTCTATAGGGTATCTGGTCCTTCAGGTCTCTAATAGGGTGATAGAATGATTCTATAGGGTATCTGGTCCTTCAGGTCTCTAATAGGGTGATAGAATGATTCTATAGGGTATCTGGTCCTTCAGGTCTCTAATAGGGTGATAGAATGATTCTATAGGGTATCTGGTCCTTCAGGTCTCTAATAGGGTGATAGAATGATTCTATAGGGTATCTGGTCCTTCAGGTCTCTAATAGGGTGTGTAACATTGGTTGGGCTGAGCCCTAATGCAGCCTGGTTAAAAGCCCTAGAATGAAACCACAGGTTTCCTTCCTTTAATGGTTTGATCATGAATATTTAGATGAGCTGTGCTCTGATTGGTTGGTTTACAACGAGCCAAGCTGCTGAGCAAAGACGCATCATAGCAACAAGCACTCACTCACTGAAACATCATTGATATGGTAGGGGGACCAGACGTCCTCTCTTTCCTGGACATGTCCTACTTTTCATACCAAAAAAAAATATCCAGGGGGGAATTTCAAAATCATCCAGGATTTTGGTTGACTCCAGGGCAGCACGTTGCTGCTGGTCCGGGAACCCAGGCGGACGGGGGAAGGGAGCCAGCGGGGGACGGAGCGACTGAATCGGAGCTGGTGCCGGTATTCTGGACACGGGCGGCCCTGTGAGGCATGCGGGGGGAGCAGACCATCACCGGGTCGGGTTCGGTCTGTCATGTTTGGTTTAACGTGTCTAACCCACATGCAGAACACTCAGAGGCAGGAGAAAAGTTCAAAGGTTTATTAAAAGATGAAAGTACAGGTTAAATGATCAGGTCCAGTTGGGAACTCGTCTGGTCACGAGTGGGTTCACTGTTCTGGAGTAGAGCAGAGCAGCTGAGGGGGGGAACCTTGAGGGTCCAGAGGCTGTCGGCAGGCTGAGGGCTAGGTGGAGGCAGAGCTTAAAGGAATAGTACACCCAAAACATGATTAGCCTTCATTTTCTACTCACCCCCATGCTGAACAAAACTCTGGAGTACTTTTTTGATATCTCAAATGCATCTGGAGATCTGGGAGGCTTCTTGCTGTCTGCTGACATTCAAATA